CATTTGTCACCTTCTGAATCTTACGGTCTCTTTTGGGTCCACTGGTGAGCCTGTTGAGGACACAGGCAAAGAAGTTCCCATCACAACATACAGTGTGTGCTTCTCATATATAAATGGCCTCGTCAGTCTAGTCAGTCCTTCTCCATCATCCTATATTCATGTCTTTACTGTCAAACTACCCAATAAAGGCGAATAATAAATGAATGTTTATTCCCAAATCTGTCAAGTTTCTCTGCACATACCTCTCTTGTCTGCCTGAGGGGACTGTCTGATCCTCTTCACACTCCTTCATCTTCCAGTCCATGATGTAGCCAATCAGAGGACATGTGGCCAGACACAACAGCTGTAGCATGCCAAAGGTGGACGAGTAGAAACCCACTGAAAGACAAAACATTAAATTAAGAGAAGACAAAATAACAAAGATAACAAGTTTCAGTTTAAAGCCTTATTACTACAGTGCTCACCATTGTCTTCTGCCTCCTTGGCTAGCTTGCCAGACGCTGGAAGATACATATAATAAAGAGCATTTCTGTCAGTACTGCTCAAAGGTTTTTCACAGTACTGTAAATACTGACTGTGTTTGAGGGTTGGACACTCACGGTGCTCTTCTCCATGGGTGATCAGGAACTCCAGCATCTTGTTCATTGCCCCCATATAAAAGATGATTCTCAACTGGGACATCCCCATGGTAACCAGACTCCAGAGGAAGATGGGAGAAAACACAGACCGACGGAAAGGAACCGCATCTGTGAGAGGACGAGTGTTTTTATTTTCCTGTAATGATTGTGATGGAAATTCAGGAGAAGTGGTTCAGATTTCTAACTTTTACCGTAAACCTTGCGGGAGATCCAGTCTCTCAGTAATATCACACAAAATAAATCAGTGGTTCTCAGCCTGACATGTGCAAGACGTGAGGCACTTTTCTAGTTTGTCTACAATTTTATAATTTGAGGGGTTGCAAGATGATTAATGGGACAGAATTTTATTGTGGCCACAATACAAAAGGTGCATGACTGTGAGCATTGTGGCTGTGTGTGTGGGTACACTTGCATTACTCATTTTGGGGGACCTATATCCGTACAGTCACACATGTGTGGGGACTCTGTATCTTTTGGGGTCAAAAAGCAAGGCCCCATAAGACAAATCTTAAAATTTTACAGTTGGAAAAAATGTAGTTTTACCCACAAAACTGTAACATACTATATTCTCCTTCAAAGTGGCACAACTGTGTTAAATGGTAAAGTGGTTCTTATATAGCACTTTTCTACTCTGCTCAAGCACTCAAAGCACTTTAAATTTTTAAATTGCCTCAATTACATTCGGATAAGCACTGTTTTCTATACCCAAGTGCTTTTTCTACCCAACATTCACAATATTCAACATTGGACCACCAACTTTTTAATTAGTAGATGACCTGCTCTATATCCAATCTATTTACCTCAATATAGATTGGCACTTGTATAGTGCACCATTCACATTCACACAAACTGAACTGCAGAAGGAAAAGAGGACAGATTTGTTGACCTACTGGGTGCAACCTCATGTCCATTAGCAAGCTTCTCTGTGGAGCGTCGGATGTCTCCGTTTTGGTGGCTCAGTCTCTCACCAACAACCTTCTGCTCAGATGAAGGTGGCTCTTGAACATGGAGGATCTTACTGTTATCAATAAACAGGAGGGTTTCAATTACGGAGTTACGGTTGTCATCAACAGTTACTGTATCAATATTAAAAAACAAAAACAAACAGACCTGTAGTCCACCTCTTCAGGTGTTGGAAAACCTTCTTTGGGCCAGTTTACAAAACAATTTATGAAGACACATGTGGCAAGACCCGCCCACGTCCACATGATCACCGTGAACGACACGCCTGCGTC